CATATATATGTTGTGTATTGTCATGTGTAGTATTGTATTACGGTGCTTCATCTGTATTAAGCGTAACAGTTAGTGGCCCCTTCTTCGTCCGTCAAGCGTCAGCTGATACATGCATGTATATATGTAGACATTCACCGACAAGCTATAAATAAGACATACATATAGCGTATAAAGATGTATACACACGCGGTATGTATATATCGTGAACGTACAAATATATATATTTATATATATATATATAGAAAAGGTTAGACTCTATGAAGTAGTACAAGTCTGTGTGTGTGCGATTGCACGTATTCCACCTGACTGCGCATCGAGTGTGTCGTAGTTCAGCTGTGCATACAATTGAGTTCTTGAGTGGTAGGTGGTAGTTATGGATGGACCTTAACCTACTCCGCTATCCTACTTTCAACTCCCAGTGTCTATTTTATACCCACCATGTGGTTGCTGTGTGAATGCCCTGAGCTTCCACGAACCGTTACACTCCAACCCTGAGGGTTTGTCTCAGATGTTCGGCTTAAAACGTTCTGTCTTCTCGTGTGTGGAAACGGTCATGCATATCACATGAATGCACGCACTTCATCTCCCCATTGTCTTAATGAATACGTTCCTCTCTTACGCACATCAGAGCCAACGAATCGTGCAGGACCTAATTTTCGCTGGAAAGCATAGAGAAGCAATCCATCGCCTCATGAAAATTGACCCCGCCCATCCCAGGTATATATATATATACACATAAATACTATACGTGTTTTTGAAGTTAAACAATTTTTTGAATTTGTACATATCTTTAAATTTATACATACCTATCAATAGATATTATACATTTATTTATATGTATATATGAACGTACAATGGGTTTGTCATACCTTTTGTACGACCTTCTGTAAGTTCGTGCCAACCTGTTGCACTGAGTGTGCGCATGCCTGCTACGTTCCCTTCGCCTACTCATGCTGAGATGACTACATCCACATTCACATTCTCTCACAGATTCGTTGAAGATGCGTATAAAACCGTGAGCATAGCCTCCCTGCACTTAGAAAAGGACGAGGTGCGTGTGTGTGTGTTACTATGTGATTATGAGTGGATATACGGAGACGGTCACGGGTAGGGCGTGAAATTTTTTTGTTGGTGGCTGGTCTCTCTAATAGAACTGCTTTTATATTATCGGATGACCACGATTCCGTGCATCGATGTACTTATGCGTGTACATACAAACATATATATATATATATATATATATATATATATATATATATATATAGTATATATATATATATATATATGTGTGTGTGTGTT